CCGACAGACAGACAGCTTTTCCCTACAAGCTTCGGTTCTAAACTAAAGGAGCTAGAGCTAAGCTAAAGTTAACAACAGCAAAAGATTCCCAGTCCTTGGCGAGACTTGGGGACATAATCTTCGAATGAAATTCAACTTATCAGATCAGACCCAGAACGCCATCCGCACTGACAGACGGGAAACGGCGACACCTCTTGTCGAAACTGACACTACGGCAGCGATTGACATCGATTGATATGTTTAGCTGGGAAATTTCGCGTCGGCCGGCAAAGAGTGCGCTCTCTCTGGGGAGGGTGTTGCCAGCTCCTACTCTGTGGTAGCTACAGGCCTGGTTTCGAGACACGACTCAGATAGTGCGCGCGCTCTGTGGCCGCGCGGAATCAGTTGCGGAGCCAGCGGCTTGGAAATGTTTTGAGCCAGCGAGCCGGTAGAGCCAGCATGGAAAAGTTTTGAGCCAACGAGCCAGCAGTGCCAGCAGTTTGGAATCTGTTGAGCTAGCAGTTCGAGAGTTTTCTCGGCAAGCTCCGGAACGGTTTGCCGCGAAAACGGTTTTGAACCCTGTTTGCAAGCTTTCTAGAGCCCCTAAGATCGCTTGAGCTACTGCCTCCAAGCCGCAGAATCGACGAGCCTTCGAAGTATCGAATTCTGACCTATGTCTTGAATCCAGCCTCTAGCTACCACAGAGTAGAAGCTGGCAACACCCTCCCCAGAGAGAGAAAAATCGGGCGGGCGCGACCTCTCAAGTGGTAAGTTCTCACATTTAGGGGTTAGGGTTTCGTTTAGGGTCTACCACCGGAGAGGTCGCGCCTAGCAAAAATCGCCCGCAGCCAGCTCAGTCCGAGGGCATACCGGCATACCAGGTCAGTGGATTCACACATATGTTTGGAATTGCCTCACGCAGCGTGGCAATTGCCCAAGTAGCTGGAGTCTCATGAAAACATGGTAAAACAGGCTGTGACACAGGGCCTTTGGGATGGCCAGTGTAGGTGATGTATCTTTCCCACTTGTGACTTACGAGATACCTGTTATTTGCAGCCAGCAAAGAAGCCTCCAGAATACATGGGAAGCGGCAGCTCGCTGCCGAACAGGCTTGGTTCAGCAAACCCTGCCGAGGCCCGGGGCATGGAGGGGGCTTGAAGCCCCGTAGCGGCCTAGCGCAGTTGGACGACGTTGGGCAGCCTTTTGACCACTGAGGTCCGTGCTGCTGCCTCCAACCTCAGCCAGGTAGAGCTTGAGGGATTCTCCCTGTGGGGCCGGGCTGATGCTGAGGGCTTCGTGACTTCTCTTCCACTTGGTGCCCACACAAGCCACTTGCACGAGAATATTGCCCAGGAGGAGCTCCAACAGATTCGGGCAGCTCTTGCTGAGGTGGAGGCAAGAGACCGCTTTGTTCAGAGGTTGTTTTTGTCAAAACTTGGGGCATCCTTGTCAGATGCGGGCATGTAGCCACGCGACACAGGGGCAGAATCGAGCTGATCGAGCGAAACACGATGGACCTGCCTTCACTTTAGCTTCTCCTGCTGCAAAGCAGCATGCTGCGCACAAGCCTAGCCTCTTTTTCATTTTTGCCGGAGCACTGCCTCGGTAGGAAACAACACTGTTCACCAGGTTTGGTGTAGGTGTGCAGTGCATGTACAGGAAGTCCCACGGCCCAGCGTGAGACCGACTTTGATAGGGAAGGACGCCAGGGAGAATGAAGGAGAGGAGGAAAGGAGGGGCTTATGCAGCATGTAGCACCTCTCGTCACAAATTGGCTCGCGCTTGTCCATGCTCTCTCGTGTCGCAGGTAGCTGTACTGAGAGAGAGAAACAGCGAGAAGAGGTCATTTTGGCTCCGGCTTGCGCAGCATGGCCATAGCTGTTTGGCAGCTCGAGTGTAGTTCACAAGACATGGGAGGTGGGGAGGCGGCGGTAGGGACCCCTGTTTCCCCGCCCCCCCCCCTTGGAAAGCTGCATGCACATGGAAGCTCGCTAGCGATGCATTGCTCGTCCCTAAGCATCGGAGACCTACTGCTCCGTATCCGGCTGACCCCTGACACTGGCGGTAGTTGGGTAGTGGTTCTTCTTGCGGTGGTGGCTGTCCTGGCTTGTGGGGCTTTCTGATGTAGTGTGGGACAGGGGTTGCCGCCGCTATAAGGGGCGCTCCCAAGTAGCTTCGTGACCTTCGCTAAGTCACCCTCAACTTCTTGACCACGCACATGCATGGAATCAGGAACCCTGTGCTTGTCATAGCCTTTGGCCCAAACACTTGCAATCCAGCCTTAGGTAGGGGTTGTGTTTTCGATCAGCATCAGAAGCACAGAATTTCGAAGAGAGCACCAGTTCCTTGGCCGGCAGCAGCTTTGGGTCACTTCGCGCGTGCGATGGCAGCGGAATACGCTCTGCTGAGGAACGCAGATGTGTCGCCGAGAGGCACTGGGCACGTAAGGATTCAACTAGCGATCTGTGTGGACGCGGCCTCATCAAGTCAAAAGTGCATATTGCATGGTTGCCCTGGGCAGGGAATCACGAGCTGACGCCGCACGCAAGAGCTTCAGACGTAGACAAGCAGACGGCCACGAGAAAGACGATCGGCCATTTGTCTCAGCTTGAGGATTGCTGCTCGGGGTGGCACTCACTGGGCGGTTGAGAGTCTCATCGTTTTCAGGTTTGCGAAGTGTTGCCGAGATGCCGAAGCTTTCATGTTGTCTTGCCACATGTACCTGCTTGTTACTCCCGCGCCGCTCTTGCCTCCCTGCCCGTGCCGCCTCCGCGTGGATATGTCAACCCTCCTCCCAGTGGTGCGTTTTCGGTTGGGCGAGTCTAGCCAGATCAGCTGCGTTGTACATTGTTGAAGCCCCGTCACACTGATGAGGTTGGGCGCCATCGTTCCCGCCTCCTACCAATGTGTAGCGAGGCCAGGGTTTCTTTAAGGCACTGTAAAGCGGAGTGGTTCCGGTCTCGCGCCTCTTGACGGAGGTTATTTTCTCGCCCACCCCGCGCCCAATACCCCCCCCGGCTGTGGCGCCCCTACAGGTTGAAGTCACAGGTTGAAGTCACCATGGCAGGGCGTTAGAAACACAGCACCCTACCAGCAGCATCAGCACCAGTACCAGCAAGGCCGTTGTGGTTGGAGGTGGCAGGTAGGGTTTTGAACACGAAGAGTGAACTAACCTGCAGGGTAGCCAGATCTTCGAGTGGAGCATAGTGGAGCGCTCGTCGGTTCCTGAGCAGTGCGCAGGGTGCACGAATGGGGCGTGCCCAGAACTGCATAGAACTGCTACCAAAACATGTCTCATGATTGTTGCTTGTCTTGACCTGGTTGAGCTGCCGAATGACGACTGAAGCGGGGTAAAACGGGTAAACAGCTGCCAGACTTTCACCACAATGACCGATAGCCAGGGAGACATCCCAAGTTGGAATGACGTTGACAAACCTCAAGCGACGAATGGCTCTCCCTTTCTCTGGAACATTCCCTGCTAAAGCCTTTTCAGCGAAGGAGCGGGAGTTGTTTCGAAATGTGCTTGCAACAACGCTACTGTTGGGGAATGGTTTGGAAGGGTGAGGTGGACAGCCTCGTGCACAATAAGCCTGGCACCAGAACCGAACTATAGGTCCAGTCCGGTCCAGCGGAAGCTGATCAGGGCGTCCATTCAGTTTTCTCATGACGTCCCTGTCTAACGGTTTAACGAAAGTTTAACGTGGAGCTGAGATGACGACTTCTGGTTCGATGCCAAGCGCTTCCCCTCGTTTGAAGAGCTCGCAGCGCCGGAAGGCGGCGAAGGCCGCCACCAGTGCAAAAATATCGGCATCTACGTGAATGCACCTCAGCCTTGCTCAGCTTTCCAAGACGTGTGATTTAGACATGTTGGATGTGGAGCTTTAGGGGTTTTCATTTGGCTTTTATGCGGGGTGTGCGGGCTTGGGGCGTTCGTGGCCCTCAAGTTGCTTCAGAGCTGCCAGGTGTTGGAGATACAAGAGGTAGACCAGATCAAGGAGACTTTTACGGCCATCTTTGTCTTCATCTTCTCCTACATCGATCCGACGTTGAAGGACTATTTCCCCGAGGTCAAGTACATTGACGCAAAGAACAGTGTCAAAAAAGTGCAGGCTCAGATCAAAGGAATCGAGAAAGGAAACGGGCGAATCTGTATGGTGGACAAAGATGGCCATGCGCTTCGCATCTTCAGGCGCGATCTTCTGGCGGTGGCCATCGGCGACGTGAAGTGGGACGAGCACATGAAGCTGGACGCTCGAAACATCCTTGTTGCTTGCGGCTGAGAGCTTCGATCACAGGCTTTGCTCGTATGTTAGAATCCTACAAAGCCAGGATTGGGCTTCAGGGGTGCTGTACGGAGGCAGGTTGCAAAGATGCCGCTAGCAACCCTCTGCACTCTTCTCGCAACTGCTGGTACCTTCGACAGCTCCAAGATTCTTTAGATATTTAGGGTTGCAGAAAGTTCGAAACGCTTCCATCTCATCCACAGCTGGTCTGGGAAGCGTCGTGACATGCAGATCGAACTAGGACTGGTCCTTCATGAATGCAGTCGAGCAGCCAGAGAAGATGATGGACAACAGGCCCCAGAGAATGCAGTCCTCGAGGAGATTCGCCAGCAAACAATCGGGATCTCAAGCATCCAAACATACATATCCAAACCCAAAACCTTAAACCCAAGCTGTACTCGCACGGCACCCTCACCACCAGTAGATCCCAAGCCGCTTTCCAAACCCAGTTGCACGAGGACTCATGTCTATTTGGGTTTCCCAGGACCCGGGAGAAGACTTACACTTACACTGCCCTGATGGCCCCACGCAGTGTGTAGGACTCTCTCTTGAACGAAGGTTCGAGGAGAGGAGTTTTGGAAATGTTATCGGGGCTTAGGTCCTTCCATGCACCATGGTATTTCCATACAGGAAGACATACGATTCATTAACGCTACCGCGTGCCGTGGCTCTGAGAGCACAGTGTCGCATGAAGGCAGGATCGACTTCCATTGTTTTTACAGTACTTGTGTTCGTGTAGCTGTACCATATGCCATCATCTACGCTACGTCGTGGCTCAAGTTCACAAAAGGATTCGTGCTTCCTGCTGCT